CTTTTTTTTTTTTTTTTTTTTTAACTTCCTAATCAGTATATTGTGATCTAGAAGTTCATTTTCGAATATACCCTTTCAAAATAGTCAAACATAATGATTGATTGAGATGCTTGTAAATAATTCAAAGTAAAAATAGGGGTTATATAGTCTTTTTCCACTAGATTTTCAATTTTAATATGATAATTTATTACTAGTGAAAATAAAAAATGAAAAAAAAAGGCAGAAGTTCCTTCATTTTCCTTTGGCAATGGTCAAATAATTGATTCAAATATTTACAAAATCTCTCAAACAAGTGCTTAACTTCAAAAGTCCTGTATAGTTGATGTACATGCACACTTCAATTTAAAAAGAAGAGAAGATAACTCCAATTTTGAAATAAATGTTCTGAGCTTACCATGATCCATGTATTTTGACCAAAAAAAAAAAAAAGAGGGAGAGTAGTAGCTACACTTTTGATCCCCATGTTACCATCCATAATTTATTAAGGTACAATTGTTAAAAGCAAATGCACTTTAGGTCCCTGGAAATACTGAAATTATCAAGACATTAACTATCTTCCACCCTCATCTTGTATTACAATTTTGTTTATTGCACCATATTTTAATTGTATTTGATTATTATACGTCTCCAATTATTTTTTGCACCTAAATTTAATATATTTTTTAAGCAAATCATCAACCCATTCTATGTAATTTTAAGCTCTACTAAAGAAGGATGATGGGGGGTTTGGATGCTACAATTATAAGATATATGAAACTCGCATGAATACATGGGGGGGTGTACTTGACTTCACAAAAAGTAATATTGTAAAGAAAGAAGTAAATGAAAAGGTACTACCTCCTATTTAAAAGTAGCAAAAGTAGACAAAATACCTCTAACCCTAAGGATGCCATGTCTATCATTTGTAGCAGAGATCATAGTCGTCGAGAAAGGTCTAAAGGGCCTTATTCCTAATAGTGGCGATGTTCTCAATCCGTAGTGAGAAGTGAAACAGTAACCTAATTCTATATGTAGGAAATCATATCTCGATTTGATTAACAAATGATGTTTGATGAGTCTCCTGGATAGACCAAGGCTTACCCTCACATGTAATGTAGTGAACAATCAAAGATGAATCTGACTTTATCCACAAGTATGAATGTCCAAGTCCTCAAGCGAAAATAATCCTATCTAGAATAGCCCAGTCTCCAGAATACAGCCATCACCATAAGAAGATGAAAATGCTCAGATGCACCATTTATCCTGATCTTTTATAGTAACCCGACCACTGGAAAATTTATCTTTGACGCAATCATTAGTGTAATTTTGTGAGATCCTACCAATGGAGCACTCCAACAAACCAAGATAGGGAGTGGTGGGAAAGAAAAGATCAGATATATACCAAACAATGGGGACAATATCTAGATCTCCTCGCCAATGGATAAAATGAAATAAATGACCTATATATAGAAGAGAGATAGTATGGTGAACTTTTGAAATAATACGTCGAGGCTCAATAGCAATGACCTATGATTCACATCATTCCTACACTCCAAATAAACCAAAAGATCGAAAGAGGAATGATAGTGCAAATGTGACCACAACATACTAATTGGTCTAGGAATGTAATCTCTATAAATGATGATGCACTTCCTTATACTATCGAAGTGGTAACTGAAATATGTCATCAAAGTGGCGCCATAAATGGTCAGATATACTATGTTTGTAAATAAGTGTGACATGTTCTTTGTCTCCAAGTAGCATTGGTAAGGAGAAGATAAGTGATAATCAATCCATCATTGAATGGAAACATCAAATACCAATAACCATTGAAGCAGTCATAAGTGAGAATTCCATACATTCGATACCTATGCTAAATCGAGCAGCTCGGTTGAACAAGCCACCATATAGACTTGTTAACTTGGTAGCAAATTTACCATTCGATGTATCCCTCCACATAATTTGGTGGGACCTTGATACATATGGGTGAATCGAGCATCGAAGTCTAGCTAGGGTGAGGTTGACTATTGATCGTTGACCATTGATCATCGACAATCAACGATCGTAATAGTTCTGCTGTATATTAAAATTTGATTAAATAATATTAAAAATTATCAATATATATGTAAATGAACTAAAATGTAAAAGTTATATACATATGAAAACATAATTCAATAAACCTAAAATACTAAAAAAAAATATACGATACAACCTTACTTTGTAACTATAAGCTTAGACAACTGTATTCTATAGGTTCTCATATTTTGAAAACGTTGCAATATTGCCTCATTCTCAAGTTTTTTACAAATATCTTTCTCCACGTAAACACCAAATTGTCATTCAACCAGTCATCTCTCATTTTGCTGCGCAAGTCACTTTTGATTAGATTCATAGCAGAAAATACCCTTTTAACAATTGCAGTTGACACAGGTAATATCAAAACCAAGGTGATCAGCCTATAAACAATGGAAAATAACAGAAACTTCTAGTTTCAACCAATTTCCGAGCTACACAAGATATGTTATTGAGATTAAAGAAAATTTCATCCATTCTCACAAACATAAGAAACTTGTCAAGTGGTGGTCTAAATAATAAAAACTTTTCACTATTGAAGTCCAAAGGATAGAAATGAGCAAGACTTAGCGATTTAGCCTTACCAAACGCTGCAAATGAATCTCTTGGACTTAAACACGAAATGCAACTAAAGAGCTCAGTAGTTGTTTCTGAAAAGCGATCATTCAACTCTTATAGGATTGAGTCTATCACATGACAACCCAAATCACCATAAAAGCGATGATAATAAGTCACCTACTGAGTTGCATGCCTAGGTCGACCTTTCATTACCACAATGTCCTCCATATTGGGCACTAAAATATGTCTATCAACATAAAACTCAATCAGCCTACTCAACAAAGTATCCCAACCGTTGTCTCTCAATTCTGAAATGCATACTTACATAAATTCAATAACCTCGATCATTCTGAATATCCTGATCTTTTTTTATAAGGCTTGTGAAAGGTCAGTCTATAATTGCAAGAATTTCAAACATAAAGTGGAGACTAAACACAAACTCAAAATCTTGCATAGTGTCCATCTGTCTTACGCTCATTATTTTTTATTTAAATGTACGCCATCTTCTTATATATTCTCAAGAACATCTATGATAGCATTAAACATATTAATAAAACGAGTAATTGACAGAAAATGTGAGCCCCGCCTAGTATTACTTGAGCATGCTAAACTTATTTCTTGAAACTGACCAGTTCTACCAGAAAGTTTCCCAATAATAAGCCTCTTCAGAATATTAGAATGATAACTTGTTCAAAGAGCATCGGAACGCTTACATGATGCACCAACCAAATCACAACAACAGCGAGCATGTTGAAAAAATCACCAAGCATACAATTCCTACATGCCACAGTAACAACTGCCAACTAAAGTCAGTGAGCAAAGCAATGGACATACATAGCATATGGGTTCTCTCTTAGAATTAACGCTTTCAAACCATTGAACTCACCTGACATATTACTTGCTCCATCATAACCTTGACCTCTAAGGCTAGATATGCTCAGCCCATGTGTAGCAATATTGCATCAATGGGTCCTTCAATGATTGGGCACAAGTATCAGTGACATGAAATGCCCAAAAAAATGCTTCTTTACTTGCCCACTTTTGTCAACAAACCTCAAAACAACCGTCATTTGTTCTTTCATAGAAATATTACTAACCTCATAAACCAAAATTGAAAACAAAGAATCATCTTGTCATTGAGAATAGCCTTTGTCCTTTCTACGACACAACAATTAACAAAATCCTTTTGGATGTTTGGTGAAGTCATTTGGTCATTTCCAGGAGCATTACTAAATAATACTTATTTAACTTCCTTACAACAAGTTGTAAATCAGGTCAGTAGCTCAATTAGATTTCCTCTATCAAGAAACTCTTTCGATTTATCATGACCACGAAATAACAATCCTTATATCAAGATGAGTCTAGTACAATCTAGTACCACAGTCATCCTGGTCCTATAACTTTGTTGTTGACTACTACTTTGGCTAGAAATAACATAGGCGATACCCTGCTTTTGATTCATCAAGTTGGTACACTTTGCAAAAG